TTAATCTATAACGCTACAACGTTCAGACAATAGAACATGAACAGAAAATAGTTATTAATGCAAGGATCATAGGCTATCGAATGAGTGCTGCAACATTTAGGAACGAAGAAAAATGTACTCGTATCTCAATAATTTTCTATTAATATCAAACCAAAGGATGCAGGGGCCAAGAACAATCATGGTTGCAATGAAAAGGCATTTGTTAACACTTTCGTGCTTTAAACAATTTAAAATTAAACATTAACTACGTAACTAACCAATATAAAGAGAACACAAATACAAATGTTTTGGAAATCTGACAAATTTAAAAATGACGAGAATCTTTTAAAATTAAAATGAAAACTTTTATGGAATAGTTTGCAGACATTTTTGGGAAAAAACTGTGTTCAAGAGTTAGAAACCCGTGGGTGGAGGAGGGTAAGAGGTTACATCAGAACCAATCAGATGTTCACATTGCGCACTTCGAGGCTATGAATTTGTACACCTGGAATTTTACAGGTCAACTGAAGTATCGTTATGAAATACGAAATCTCTGATTGATAGTGTTCAGTTAAAGTAAACAAGTCATTTTGTAACAATATAAGCCTGGAAGTGTAGCATACTGAGGTTTGCCGATAAAGTGAAGACTACACTTGTCTCCTTTCATCTTGCCGCATCCTATCAGACACCGACGAGATAAATCGGCATTTACCATTTCGCATCCCTCGTCCATTTGCCTTGCTGTTATTCTAATTGTAATGTAGAACCTGCCGCAACAGCAGCGAACAAACTACGAGGAGGAGTCGATCACAACGCAGACAATTAAAGCCGCTTGCTGTTAGGTGGGTTCCGAGTAATGCGGGACACTGAAGTTCATGGACACAGTTACGTTTTCTGCCACGTCATGAGATTTTCACTGCTGACAGCTGATTAACCGTAGAAAAACTTCACCGACTCCTAACAACATTGCGGGTGGTACTTGGCTTCGAGAAGGGTGGTGGACGTAAGTTCTTCCTAATTAATAAAAACTGAAACAGTTCGTGTGTCTTGTAATGTTTATGTCACCAAAGTATACAAATATTGTTGTGACAAGGTTTAGTTTTAAATGGAACGCAAGTTGATTCCATAAATGTAAGGAAAGAATACGCCACTGCAAGTGTAATATACCCGTTGATTTGGCTTTAGCAGTAACAGATTTGTGTTTGCAGTGAATGAACACCGAGACAAATTGGGGGGGGGGTAGTATTCGGTGCATAATTTTCTATTGTTATTTCTTTAGTAAAAGTTTCTTTATCGCTAAATGTTATATGCACCCAGGATTACTTTGATTTGTGAAATGGAGGTAGCCCAGGAAAATTTTAACCTTGAAGTCACTCTTTGAGATTTAGTCCTCGGAACGAATTCTCAAGGATTTAACAAGTATCGGTAAAAGCACATCTAATTGCACGCTTCTTTCAGGTTTGTAACAGTGGAGTATTGTCATGGGGATATTTTCCTTAGGCATTGTCTATTGTTGTAATTGAAATACCTAGAACAAGTGTAAATTAGTCTCAGGTGTTCCGATGAGTGGAGAAGCCAACTATCAAATTCTTTGTTTGAAAAACTGCCTGGGGCTGTGGAGTGTCATGAGTGAGACACTTGAAGAACAATATTAAGAAATCTTCCTTGTCCTCTGGAACCCGAAAGTGTTCGCAGAAGTCCCCCAAGCTTCAGGCTGCACGCGGTGCTCCGTCACTACTGTAAATTCCCTCGATGTTGGACCAAGTCTGCGACCGCTTGGTCCGTATGTTCAGAGCTACTTTTCATGTCCGGAGGCTTTGCTGGCATCAACGGACAAGTTTTAGCTTTCTATTTTCTCGAGTGAAAGAGATTAATCGGCAGAAGCCACCAATCAGCTTCATTACGTCTTCTGGCCGAAGACGATGATTGCCCTGCGTTTGACGGGCCTACGGGTGGGAGAAGTGTGTCGGTCGACCTTGATGGTGACTGCTTTGAGCTGGGGCTAGAGGGAAGTGTTGTGAAATACCGTTTATATTGTTTCGTTGTGCTTGTAGCATGTGTTGAAACTTCTGAGATGCTGCTCGTATAGAGCTAGGATGAATTTTGTGTTGCATAGAATCTTCTTGTCGACCTTGATGGTGACTGCTTTGAGCTGGGGCTAGAGGGAAGTGTTGTGAAATACCGTTTATATTGTTTCGTTGTGCTTGTAGCATGTGTTGAAACTTCTGAGATGCTGCTCGTATAGAGCTAGGATGAATTTTGTGTTGCATAGAATCTTCTTGCGCGAAGAAATTGATTTTGGATTTTTTCTGAAATGCCTATCAAACTGATCACACAACGCAATGCAGAATAGTACTCTCTTTAAGCATTCTTCAAGTCAGGTGTGTGCTTTGAAACTTCAGATTCGCTCTCGTGTTCCGCTAAGCCAAGTATCAGCGATGATCTGATGGACAGTTCCGGGCGCAGTTGTCGAGTTCTGAAGCGTAGACGTAAGCTCTACATTCAGACGTGGCCTACTTATCTTAGCTTCATCAGAAGACAGAAAATTTCGTAACGGTAATGTGAAGTCCAAAAAGGTCATCTCTAAAAACAGAATTTGTATGTCATTAGACAGAAAAATTGCGCGTTCTTCTGTAAAACAATTAAATGTCCGTGTTACTTTGAAAGTTCGGATGCATCTCATGGAAAGGGCATTTTTAATGGTATGCCGTGTACTATAATTGAGAGTTTTTTTTAAGAATTTAGTGTATATAAATAAATACTTCTGAAAATATAAAATGACACCAACTTTAAAATGATCCAATCTATATAATAAGGCTGGCCGGAGCTGTAAGTTAATATAATTATTATACAGGGTATTGATCAATTTCTGTCCATTAGTCACGTCTTGTAAATGTTGCTATGACATTAAAATTGTTGCACAGCCTCAGAGTCTGACACAGGTGATATGTTTCATAATTTAACACGCGAAGAGACCGCAAGAATTTGAAAACTGACATCACTTCCACTTTCAGAAGCCTGAAGAGCTCAGGAAACTATTTGGGCCTATGACGGCGGTTTTCAAGAGGAATTCACTGAGCATTTGTCGCAGAAACAACGTTCGATCTCAGTTGGGAGATTGTTCGATCCGGACAGGAACTTGTGAGCCGTCCGTGGCCTTTCGGAGGCAGGCCTCAGTCGCTTCCAGCCTTGAAGAGATCATTTTGGTTGATGCAGTAACTGTTCTTGTAGTCCGTAACTGTCAACGTGACAGTCTGCACGAAAAGACTAAACTTTTTTTAAAATCTTTTCATAAAAGCGTTTCTTTTTACCCTTTTTAGGGTTGATACTTCTAAAAAAAAGACCGAAATTCTTGCCCTTCGGTTTTCGAGACTGGATTTCAGTGTGAACATTTAGTTTAAATTTCAAAAACCATTATTTTGAAATATGCTACTCTGAAACTAAATTTTGGATTTATTATAAGTTCATCAGCAGCCTGTAATCAACCCCTTTTTCTGCGAGTTTTTTTTTTTAAAAATTCCGCTGGAATATAATACATACTTGCAAGTTTACGAACCTAATTGAATAATATTGTTCAAACCAAGTAGAGTTGTTGAAGAAGTACGACATTGTTACGTGAATAGGTTTCAGATTTCCTCCAAAGTTGACTTATTCCATTAACACGAGATGCAACTTCGTATCACATGATCTATGACAGTACAATTCGAGAGTTGTTTAATTTAAAAGTGATTCACAGTCAGTCACGGTTGCCAAATCATCGCCGCAAATATTCCAATGACTTCACAAATATCATGCAAGTTAACCGAAATTTTATATTTTCTTTGGATATACCAACAAACTTTTATTTACATTAACGATGGCTGTATTCTGTGTAGTATGATAGAAGTTTATCAACGTTTCAGAGATCCTTGCTGCTTCCATCTTCGGACACACCGCCGTGAAAACCTCAGATCGTGCTTAAATTGTATTCATATTAGTTGTCAAATTACATCGACAAATGCATTTCTGCCTGTATCTGGTTATTATCAGCGTCACCTTCTTGCACTGCGACGTATTTGATATTTTAAAACTCTAAAAATGTTAGAAAATATTTAATAGTTGAAACTACGCAGCATAAATTAACATAAGATTATGAAATCTTACAGATTTGACACTGTCCAGTCTGTATTTCCATCGTGTTTCGGAAAGAGATTTCATTTGTTTACATTTTTTTAATAACCCGTCTTTTCGAAGATTTTGAGAAAAGATACGTATCTTTTGCATTGGCCTTGCGCTTACTAAGGACCCATATGCTGGGCTTTTGCTGGACATTTGAATTACATTAAACAAAAAGTCATTTACTGGTTGGGAGTGGGGGGTTGCCATTGTAATTGATTTAGCTGCATCTCCTACCGGTAGATTCCGGTTGTTACATTGACGTGGTGCATAAAAGACGGCCATCATAATAAACCCCAATGGTTAAAATCCGGGTCGACGTTAAAATGGAGAAATAGCAATGGGCTGTGATAAAGAAATGCCATGTTTGTATCTTATGAAGTGTTCTTAATTGATAACAAAGACGAAGAACCACGTACAATAGCAGAGGAAGTAATTCTGCGTGTTGCTTAAACAATTAATTGCATCTAAAATGCTGGGAGACAACAGAAGCTAAAATTTTTTAATTTGATTTCATTGTTAATCACTCACCGCCACCTAGCGCCGAGGTTAAGAATGAGTAGGAACGATAATACTCTCCCCCTAAATTTCTACATGGCGTACAGTGGGTCACCTTTACTTTTTTCATCGTATAATAAGTTACGTTGAGAGAAGAAGGAAATTTATAATGTATAAGTTATAAGGTGTAAATATCACTAGGACTTTACTTGGTAAAAGATAAATTGAGTTTAAATTTCACACAGTTGTTTAGTTTTTGTCCTCATTCTGTTAACAGGAATTCTCACAGTGGCTGCAAACGTTTTGTTTAAATACGAGTCTGTAGAATGTGTAAGGATTGTTCAAGAAGATGTTTTCTTGTTTTTCAGGTGAGGTCAGAGTGCTTCTCACACCCAAACACTGCCTGAATTCTGTGAGCTATGGTTATTGTTACAAGGGTCAGTATCGCCTGTCTCATCCTTGATTTGTCATACTAATTCAAACCAGGGGTCCGCAGTGGCCGCGCGGTCTGAGGCGTGGGCCTTGTGCCGCTTGGTCGCTGGGACCGTGGGTGTGGCCATGGATGTTTGTCCGCGTTTTTCTGTGTTGTGCTGTCCTGTGTACAGGTAGAGGCCTTGCGACGGGCCGATCACTCATCCAAGGAGTCCTACTGAATGTCTATAGATCGAGCCAACGAAAAGTTGGGACCCGCAGTGCTCAGGCACTTGAAGAACGAGTCGTTCCGAGTATCGCAGTATTCAAACCAGATACTCTGAAAATTTTGCTTCTTTACGTGATTAATAAGGGATAGTGAAGAAATCTTTACTGTAAGGAATTATTATCAGCTTGCTGTGTTTGGACCCAGACAAGCAGTACCATTTCTAATAAATTTAAAAAATGTATGCCTAATATGTTTCAGGGAGATTACATTTGGATTGAACCTGTATCTGGCCGTGAATTTGATGTGGCTATTGGAGCACGCGTTGTGTCAGCTGAAGGACGGCGTATTCAAGTCAAAGACGATGATGGAAAAGTTAGTAATGATTATAAAAAGAATGTTTTTGGAATAGATTTTCGAGTAGTAAGTTAAGCTGTAAATATCAGTTGAGTGAATTGTTCTGTGTGGTATTGATGTTTTGAAAGATATTTGTGTGGTTATTTTGTAATTTTATGAAATAAAGTACTGCTTGAAAGAATTTTTGGTACTTTTGAGTTATCGGGACGCATCGCTTTAAAAATAGGTTAGGTTAGGTTAGGTTAATGTGTGTGGATAAATGACATATATACTTGAAAGTTATTATATTTTATTTCAATAAATGACAACTAACCTAACCTAACCTAACCTATTTTTAAAGCGATGCGTCCCGATAACCCACAAGTACCGATTTTTTTTATGATTTGATCATAATGATGGAGATATTTGTGTTTGCAGAGTTTGTTTGTTTGTGATTGTTTATTTTAATGCGTTTATATGGAGAGATTTTCTTTCACTGTTTAGTATTTTTTTGTGAATTATTTGATCTGTTGAACTGTCCTACAGGAGCAATGGCTCACACCAGAGAGACGCATCAAAGCAATGCATGCCACCTCCGTGCAAGGGGTGGAAGACATGATATCCCTTGGAGACCTCCACGAGGCTGGCATTCTTCGAAATCTATTAATTCGTTACAATGAAAACCTTATCTACGTAAGTGAAAACATTTTAATTAACACAATCACATTATGTTTGGTTAAGATAAGGTGACATGTCTCTGAAGCAGTGAGAACAAAAAGGATTTATGACTAAAAGCAGAGCTCACAGAAAGGGGAAAAGACGCATAAAAAATACTGTTTTAATATATTGTTTAATTAACCACTTCAATCCAGTGTCTGGAGTATCGTTTGATAAATGACTGCAAAGCGTCAAAGTTACCTCCTCACAATGTGAATTAATTATTATTTATTAATCATGTTGTATTTAAGGATGCTATCAGCAGATGATAAAATTTTGAATTACTTCTTTTTATATCTTAATTATTGTTTTTACATGTCACAAATAAAGTATTTGGTTTCAGGTTAATGTGTAAGTGTAATATGATGAAGGATATCTGCTCCGATTATTTGTTAATTTTGTGCATACTGTATTTATTTCAGACATACACCGGTTCAATTCTTGTGGCTGTAAATCCCTACCAAATTTTACCAATCTACACAGCAGAGCAAATAAAACTATATAAAGACAGAAAAATTGGAGAGCTACCACCTCACATTTTTGCGATTGGTGACAACAGTTACACACACATGAAACGCTATGGGCAAGATCAATGCATAGTTATAAGGTAAGTAAGCGCCTATTCAAGTATGAAAAATATGAATTATTCTTTGTGAGCGGGTTGGCGCTGTCTTGTTTTATGTGCGACCCAATCCATGAGCTTCTTGGCCCCTTATACAACCCTGTCTCCCACTTTAAAATAAAATGTGTTTTTTTAATTCATTAGGAACATTCAAATTGAAAAGAAATCTAACCCTTTGTTCCCTTCTGTGTTAATCAAACTGAGAAACGCATTTTAAGTTAGACTCGCGGGATAACTCGTAGGCCTTTCACTCTGCACTTGGTTGTGTGTATGATAAGAAGTGGGCAGTGGTGTTAGTGACACAAATTTTAAATGGAAAGACATGTCAAATTATTTATTTTATCTTATGTATACATAATTCTAACTTTATGATGTAAAAAAGTCTGATTTAAATTAACACTTATATATTCATTTATATCTTAATTGCGTCATGTTTGTGTTTATTAATACAATAATTTATTTACCATCTATACACAAACTTAAAAATGTTGTTAAAATTACTTAAAATTACAACATTTTTTCATTAGATACTAGATCTTGTTACATTTTATATTGACGACATGTTTCGATGTGTATTACACCATCATCAGGTCTATCAATTTTAAAAACTGTTTTAAAAACTGTTGCACATCTTGCTTTGCTTATATTGATTTGTTTGATTTTTAAGTCTCTTCCTTTAAATGTTGTTTTTAGATGTTTTATATCTGTAAAATTAATTTTCAAATCATGATTTTGGATATTGACATA